ATGAGAGGCAGCTGCCCAAGACGGTGGCTTGGCCAAAATTAAAGTCTATCACTGACCATCGACATACTCCAACTAGAAAAGAACCCCTGGACCCAGCAAACTGCATGATGGAGGCAACAGGAATGGGCCTCAGGGGTTTTAGAACACTGAGGCTGTTACAGCTTCACTTAGCCAGTAACCAGGTTCTTTACTTATCAAACTGCATATGGGGCCCTAGTGACTCTTTTTTTACTCGATCCAACCCTGAGTTATAGGTAAGTTATTAAGAACTGGCAGCAATAATCAATCTAAAGGAAAAGGGGGTAAACGACACTAAACAGAACCATCACCAGGTGTACTTCTTAAATATATATATACACATATGTACATAACATAACACTGCAGGTATCACTTTCACACAGGACACTATAAAACTTCTGCCATCTTCTTTCCTGGTGAGGACACTTCTATCTTCTATTGTACACCACTCAAGGTTCCCTCCCTGAGTCTGTCATCTATGGTCTTCACCTTTCTCAGTAAATCCTATACAATCCAATACAGTATCCTCACGGTGCCCAAAACACCACTTCTACTCTCCAGCAACAACCTGACAGAGGTCTCCAGCAACACACTGGCATGGGTCTCCAACGTAGTACAAAGATTGACATTCTAAGCAATTAGATAATAGAACTTTGTACTATTTGTATTGGAAAATTTGAAGCTAAAAAACAAACTTAAATATTCCTAGGCCCAGTATAGCACACCCATGTACTATATTAGGCCTCAGATATCATGTATTAGGGTTAGGAAGGTTAGATTAGGTTAGTATAGTTTGTCTTTGCAACATAAGTAGAAAATAGTTTTCCGGTTTGTCCAACTCAAGTGCCGATTTCTACTTTTAAATTTCATTGTACGTCGGTATGTATATATACAATGGTCCTCAGTGTTACTATAAGTACTACCAAAACAGGAGGATGGTCTGGATCACAGGTATCCTGTGCTGCCATATGACAGAGGTCAGGGCATCATTATTAAGATATTTACTCTGAAGAAATGATGGTCTACCTTATTTACCTAGAAATGCCTAAATTCCTTCAAGCAGTTGCTTATTTTGTTGCACATATGCTTTCTGATGAGTTTCTCCCCCTTGTTTTGTGGTTGATATCCGATCTTCTTACCTCGCAGAGTGAGCCAGATTTTGGTCTATGCTTCTGGAAGGCAACTGGTAGATTTTGGGGGCCCTGTTGTGTTGAGCTAAAGCTTGGCGGTACCAAATATAAGCGTGAGAAGCAACTGATGAATCCCTCCCAGAAAGAACATATAACAAGAGATGGTACAGCAAGAGACGGTGCTACTTCGTACACTAAGAAATAGTACAGCTCAGTACAATAGTACTAATACAAGGAATTATACATAATGATATTCTGTATACATAGATCAAAGTAAATATTTTTTGTATTGAAAAGTGACCTGTTGGTACATGATAAAAACATTAAACAGTATACACAATGAAAATGGATTGTAATACCAGCCTAAAGAAGATAATGAAATTATAATTATATTTATGTAACTTTTTCAGTATAAGAGTTGACTGAGAATAAATAACTCATTTAATCTGCTTCATTTTGATGTGCACTGCTGTTTGTTTATATAATTATAGCAACAAAAAGCTTCTTTAAGAAGTACTGTGTATTACAGAATGTGGATTAATGAGAAGTAATGACAAGGAAGGCAATGAGTCACAATAACGTGGCTAAAGTATGTTGACCAGACCACACACTAGAAGGTGAAGGGACGACGACGTTTCGGTTCATCCTGGACCATTCTCAAGTCGATCGACTTGAGAATGGTCCAGGACGGACCAAAATGTCGTCGTCCCTTCACCTTCTAGTGTGTGGTCTGGTCAACAATGACAAGGAAAATAAGTACTGTAAAATGCAAACAGTTGGTTTAAAAATATATAGTGAATACAAATAAAGAAAGCTAGAGTATGGATTTGACACTGTGCGGTCTGCTCTCGCTGAGGTAGGGAACATGGGTTGCAGATTTATTATAATATAATAAATATATAAATATATATACTGTATATATATATTTATTGCATGTTGAGGTTGCATGTTTAGTTGTCACAGAACATGTAGATGCAACATGTATAAATGGAACTGGAAGATACAATTGAATGAATTTATAGAAATTTGGTAGAGAGAACTACTGAATATAGTAATGAAATGGTAACAGGCACCTGATAGAGGAAAGTGGAGAATCAAATCTGAAGGGTCCCTATAAAAACTGGAACTTTCTTAAAGGCTTCGTTAAGAGTGACCTGCTTGAAAGCTTTAATGCCATAATCACTATTCAAAGAAGTTTCTTGGAAGTTCTTGGATGCATCAGAATACACAGGTAAGTAGTAAAGTTGAAAAATCATTATAAAGTGATGAGCTGGAAAAATGTAGAAAACTAATACGTATCCACTTGATTTAACCCCTGCACTACACACCACAACCAGGGTTGTTTCATTGATAGTGTGCACCACAACCAGAGTTGTTTTAGGCCTATCATAAAATGTAAAACTCCAACATACAGATGGGGCTCACATATGGTTTCCCAGGCCTCCAGTAACCCTCCCCTATCTTGAAAAAATCCTAAGTGCCTCACTTTCCTTCTAGGGCCTAAGTAGGAAGATGAGGACCATGTCTGGTACATCACTACCCAGTGTCTGAACGAGTAGGACAGCCATACTCGGAGCAAATTGAACTTTTAACAACAGCAAATGAGTGATTACCATATATATACTGTATTAACAGGTAAAATGTGTGCTATGTGAAATGATAAGATTTTAGGCTTAAAAAAAAAGGGTCCTGGTAGTACAATACTGTCGGGTTTGTTCTCGACGCACAATCGAGAATTCCGGGTTGGAATCCTGGGCACGACAGAAATGGTTGGCCACATTTCCTTTCACACAATGCTTCTGTTCATCTAGCAGTGAGTAGGTACTCAGGAGTTAGCCAGCTTGTTGTGGAATTGCATCCCGGGCAGGGTCAGTAATTCGGCCTTGGATTGGGACCTCGATAAAAGCCAAAACGTGTATGAATACACTCTGGCTTCATGTCCCCCAACACAATTAATTATTATTATTATAAATTATATTATTATTATGACTAAATACATGGTGTGTATATATTTATACACATACATATATATATACACACATATGTTTTTCGAAGTTATACATAATGAACGCCACCATTGACAAATCAAAACAACTTCTTAGAATGAAACATGTCAATATATAAAGTGAGAAACATTGAAAATAAATAGATAAAATTATTCCCGTGCTGCACCTCACCTCATTTCAACCAAAAAATGCAAATTCTTTGGGTCACTACAGCTAAACCACAAAAGATAGACTTTTTACTTGGATTTTTGTGCTTCCTGGATGCACAAAATGCACAAATGAATGCACATCCAGGAAATGCTTCCTGGATGACATTTAGAATGTCAAATAAAAAAACAAAATATTTTAAGAATTGTTGTTTCTGTGGACCACAGGAGTCTCACATTAAACATGTGTGCAGTGCAGTGGTTAAGGACCCATATAGAGATAAACCCTACTCATTAAATCAGGGGCTCTGATAAATCCAGAGATGTTAAAATATCAGTAACTTATTCAATTATATTTGGGAAAGCACCAGGTCAATGACTCTGTAAACAAAGCTCCAGTTACTATTCTCAAATTCAGCCGTTAGAATTGTTGTTAGAATTTACCAACAGCCGTTAGAATTGTCGGTAAATCAGAGGGCCTTAAATCGGGTGGATACTGTACTTGAATGAAGTGACATATAATTGAGTACAGTACTGTGCATGATAAATCCAGCAATTGGTTTTCTTAAAAAGAGTTTTAATAATAAGAATGGAAAGCTAGAAAGAGGAAGGACCTCTCATGTGTAAGATGGCTGTGTCAGTACTTAAGTTGACAAAGTCTACAAATATTTTGAGGTATAACAGAAAATTGCGAGAGAATATATTTTGCAGAGGTGGATTATGAGTTTATATGATAGTGAATGAAGCTGAATCACATTGATGAATCAGCTTTGTGGGCAAAGTAAATACTGTAGTTCTGAAGCTCATAAGTGATATATAAGTTTTCATTTATTTTGTCTTGCTTAATATAAGAAAGGAATGAATACATATTTATTTTTAGTGTATTTGTGACACTTGGTGCATGTAATGTTGTTACGGAGGGAATGAAACCTTGTTCACAAGCGAGTTAGACAACATATATATACTGTATATCTATTAATAAAGATTTTAAAACTTGTAACAAAACATTACTAAGAGCTGAATTTTGTTAATATATAAAATATTGTATTTACAAATAAGGATAACAACTATCATATAGTATTTTACAATATACATTGTTACATTGTATACGGTATATATGTATAATATAAATATTATATATATATATATATATATATATATATATATATATATATATATATATGTCGTACCTAATAGCCAGAACGCACTTCTCAGCCTACTATTCAAGGCCCGATTTGCCTAATAAGCCAAGTTTTCATGAATTAATGTTTTTTCGTCTACCTAACCTACCTAACCTAACCTAACCTAGCTTTTTTTGGCTACCTAACCTAACCTTACCTATATATATAGGTTAGGTTAGGTAGGGTTGGTTAGGTTCGGTCATATATCTACGTTAATTTTAACTCCAATAAAAAAAATTGACCTCATACATAGAGAAAAGGGTTGCCTTATCATTTCATAAGAAAAAAATTATAGTAAATATATTAATTTAGGAAAACTTGGCTTATTAGGCAAATCGGGCCTTGAATAGTAGGCTGAGAAGTGAGTTCTGGCTACTAGGTACGACATATATATATATATATATATATATATATATATATATATATATATATATATATATATATATATATATATATATATATATATATATATACATACACACACACACACACACACACACACACACACACACACACACACACACACACACACACACACACACACACACACACACTTTTTGGGAATTACATAAAAATACTGTTTTCTTAATTATATCATATACACGTTGCTTTCTCTCAAACCACACATTATAACATTCAAATATAAAATATAGTGTCTAGCAACAGGATTTATCAAGGGTTATATTTCACCATAATATTCTTAAAAAACTATTATTTTATAATCGGATATCTCACTGTATGTGTTTTCTATCTGTGTCCGACCTCTTGTGTGTCTCTTTGACAAATATTAATGGTAACACAGTGAAGGAGACACACGCAAGCAGGACATAACTAACCCATACGTGATCTGTAAAACAAAAAGATGGTTCATTAGTTTATAAACAAATTTTTATAACAGCATTCTGGTAGAAAATATGCAATGATAATAACTTGTAAAAAATAAAACTACTGAACAGGTGGTCCTTGATCTACACAAAGGATGCATATTTGGAAAATTGTGGACTGCGCAAATTTGCACAGACTGACATTAACCTTGCATAGGAAAAATTACGATGCATTCCAGTGACTTCCTAAAGTCTTTTTTTTTACCTAATCTTTCAATAAAAACCTACCTGATTATTAATATGCATTACTCCCACCACTTTCTAGCAACAAATACAGAACGTAATGAAGTGAAGGACACTTGAAATGTGCCATGGTGCAAATATGGAAGCTAAAAAGTGATTACAAGATAATGGTGAAAAAGTTCATAACTTCAGAGTGTGGAACTTGAATGTTATACCCACATAACAATGAGGGTGTGTAAATCTTGGACACCAACTCATGTACAGGCAGACCAACCCTCTCGTTTGTCATGAAGTAGGTATTAAAACCTAAATTTTGCTAGTGCAAACCCATGCTGAGTAAAAACCACCTGTATATGTTACAGTACCAGTACTTACAAATGGAGAACATAATGTTTACACAGTATGATCTCAATAATCTGGACTTTATTATAATATCAACCAAAAAAAATCTGGAATGAGTCGTCGGAGCAATTTGTCAAAATTCAGAAGAGGCTTTCAAACATTAAAACTCTATGGGAAAATTAAAATTTACTTGATAATAATTTTTTTGTCAACACATGATATTTTGATTATACATCATTGAAATGCATAAATAGTGAACCATTTCTATCAGCAAAGAGGAATTCAAATAAAACAAACTCGGCACAAACAATGGAGTCATGCAGTGGATGATGTGCATTTCAGTCAGTTAATCAGTCTAAGCACAGTTTAGTTAATTTAGATTCCTTAAGGCTCCAAACCTCAGTGGTCTAGGGTGCAAGCTTGGGAGTACCAAGTGAGCGGGTTCCAATCCTCCTCATGGCTCCTACTGATTTTCTCATTGATACATCACATTAATGTGATTTAACTGTGCATATATATATTTACTCTTGTACAACATATATCAGTATACTGTATACAAATAATTATTTTTGCAGAACTTACTGGCACTGTGAATTTGAAAAAATCCCAAGAAGACCAGGGCAACAAGATTGAAGGAGAAAGTAAGAACAGCTCCAGTGACACTTTCAGGGATAGGATAACCAATCTCAACGGCCAATTCCACCATCAATGGCACCGTTGCATACTCGAAGGCTACTCCTCCTGCCACTGCTACATAAACCTGAGCTGTTAGATACAGTAAAGCAAAGTACAGTACAGTATTAAAAGTTTGCAGATACAACTACATAGTTGTAAATTGGTATATATGGGAATTGAGCAACTGTTGTTGGTTGTATCCTGGGGAAGATCAATCATTGGTCTAGGGGGAAACCTTAATTAATAAGCCTTACAAGTTTTTATTACCATGACAAATTTCTACTCTTAGTAAAATCCCTCTACTGTATGTCGAGTTCATCACCCTATTAAAAAAATAAAAATAAATAAAGCCCCATACATACATTTGACTTTTCAACTTTATATTCATTGAATGATCGGTGATATTTCACTAATATTTTGGGCTGACATTACAACCACTCTATTAGTAAAATTTGTTGAAATCAGATGTAATACCCATAAACTAGGCTGTATACCATAGACTAACAACACATTTTTGGGAAATAACAAATGAACAACAGTTGTAAGGTTCTTTAGCCTCTTCTAGAGCCGGAAGCCTTCAGTGGAATCCCTGTTGCAAACACATGTTAATGTTTCCTTATGCTTCCTTTTATTTCTGTTCACTTTAATTTTGGCTTACTCTTAACTCTTGACCTCTTTATTGGTCCTCAATTGTTATTATTCTTCATATTATTTACTGTTTACACATCATTAGGGTTCTCTTAATTTTATTACTGTTAATGCTCACTTTGTTTCCTTAGATACTCAGATGTCCTCACTTGAATATCTAAGGATACTATTGATAGATAATATCTATCTGCTCCACTTACTTTTATTGTCTCACTTCTCAATTTATTGTAGTTATTAATCCTTAACTGCTGAAGCGCCATTAAAAATACTGAAAAAGCATGCCAGAACTATTCATATGCTTACCATGGCAACATGCATGGCAACTGAGGACAGCTGGTCTACTGTATTATACAGTATTCCTTATAATTAATACAGTATATCTATTGAAACAAAAAGTAATAAGAAATATATCTTACCTAAGCTAGGAACAATTGTTTGAGTTGTCAGAAGAAGGAACCAAAGGAAAAATATTGATGACAATATCAAAAAGCCAATGACTGTAACTCGCAAGTGTCCATACACTTTATCTGTAATCCTGGCAGTTATAAATGCTGCTACACTTGAGCATGCCACTGCTGTCACTGCCACCCCCATGGCTTGCTCCTGCAAAGATACAACTGTTAACCCCAGCACTGCGCACCTGTTCTGGACAAAAAAACTTCATAGTGCAATTGTTAAGGACATATTTTTATTGTTTTTATAAATGTTCAGGTAAAGTTAATGTCAAGATGTTTCCAAACTCCACTATTTTCATTTCAAATCACAAAGAGTGATGAAAACATTAAAAAACATTGAAATATAGCCTGATTAAAAAAAATAGCACAACTCTCAGAGCGCCTTAAGGCACTCTGCGCATTTGAGGGGTTAAATCATTGAATGTAATTCATACTCACGAGATACTCATGCAATTCTCTACCAATGAACAATACCCAATCTTTATTTTATATTCATATTTTGCCATTGTAAAAATTCTACATTGATTTAATTATCTAGGCTGACCATCAGTAAATCTCCAGTGATACCAGGCTCTGGTATCTCAGAGGCTTTCACAAACTACCAGGCCTCTGGACTTGTGCAGGCCTACCGAATGCAAGAACCAAAATCTGGTGTGCTCATAGAGGCGTGGCAAGCATGGGTATCAGATATCATCCTAAAAACAAATAGTAAAATCAACCTCAAAGTACAGTACAGGGAAAGCAAAATAAATTATGCAAGATAAAGTATTTTGATTGAAGAAAGAAAAGTTAGAAGCAAGAAAAATGGTAGTTTTCCAATGGCAATAAATCATGTATTAATATCCAAGTGTACCACCAGGTAGCAGCTTAGGTCACCCAGAGATCTAGCCTGTCAGCCGCTTCACTTGCATAAATGGTACTAAACGCACCAGTGCTCCTCTGCAAGTGTAAGGAAGGGACTTTGTAATGTGTTTATGTTTAAATATCTGTCGAGCGGTATGGTGAGCTTTTGAAATTCCTGGCAAGTCAGCAGCTATCATATATGATGGGTACCCTCCACCCTCTAAAGGCATATTAACATGTTCTGTTATTAAAAATAATTTAAAATTATTATATACTGTATAAGGAAATTTTCACAAGTACATTATATATTATATATACTGTATGTTATATTATATTATATTATATATATTACAGTATATATTATATATATATATTATAGTATATATTATATTATATATTACATTACTGTATATTATTCCATAGAGGGCCATTCTATGACTGGAAAACATAATGAAAATATGTTTTCAACAGTCAATAGTACATTCGGATTCATTCTCAACTCACAATTAGGAATTCCAGATTCGAATCCCAGATGGGACAGAAATGGTTGTGCACATTTTCTATCACCTAATGCACCTGTTCACCTAGCAGTAACTAGGTACCCAGATATTAGTGAGCTTGTTGTGGGGTTGCATTCTGGAAAGAATCAGTAGTTTGACCTTGTGGTGGAGCACGATATAAGTGTAACCTACATATATACACACTGGCTGCTTGTCCCTGTGACACTCTGAATTATTATATTTATTAAATGTAGAATGCCAGTCCTAAACTCAATAAGAGATATGAAAAAAATTGGGACTTTTCACAAGCTAGATTGAGCAAGAGCCGGTGCTCGTTCTTTGAGTGGGCAGAGAATCATCCCTGACTGCACTTATAGCTACGTGCAGCGGCTAGATCTTGTAGTGTGGTGTCATGGTATTATAGAGCAGGTGTAGGACATTCTTATTGTTAAATGTCCCAGTAGTTAAGTTCTGGTAATTGTGCATGATTTTCACCTTGTGTATGTTATGTTGAATTTTATATATGTCTAGTACCATCCGTTGTTAAGTTTCCTGCTAATGTTTGTTCGCCAACCATTGGCATAATCCACTTTGTAATGTTGGTTCAACAGTGGACTTGGTTCAGTCAAGTACATTTAAAGTGAATGAAAGTTCAGTCTTGATGTTATGAAGAATTGTACAGAACACCTTCTTGGTTATTAAGTCCTAAATTTTGGTCAGTTCAATACAAATTTCCATTTCATTTAGTAAATCAGTTTTGTCAATTCCCTAAAGTCTTAATTCTAGCTATTCTATCTATAATTTCTAGCTATTATTTAGACCTTGATTTTGGTGTGGGGCATTAATAAAACTGCCCCCAACTGTGAGAAGGACGAGTTATTTTCGCAAGGTATGTCTCATAAGAAAATTTTGAATTTATATGTACTGTACTGAGATGTATTCTCACTTTTGGTCAATGCACACAGGATGGGGAAATGCACACTGCATTCATAGTCCTGCCCGCCATCTGAGGAGCTGGAGGAACTTGACATCTTGTGACAGCTACCTTTGTATGTCGTATTTATTCATTATGTAACCCTTTTGTGTAATAAAGTTTCAGATGAACAAAATTATTGCAAATAAATAGGGGTGGTAGAAAAAGACAATACAGTATATGAGTGCACTTGGGAGCAGCCCCACAAGGCTGCCTGGGTATTACATATCCTCTTCTTCGAGGTCAAGGGTTCCTACAACACAACCAGAGGCGGTCGTGTTTGTAGGGCCCCTTGGAATTACCCAGAGGAATTACTGACTCATGCCCACGTCATATAAAAAAAAAATTATATGGCATAGGCGTACGTCAGTAATTCCTCTGGGCTTCAGTAGTAGCCAGGGAAAGTTGAAAATTCCAGTTTGGCAGCAGAATGCTGTTATTGGAAACTTTCCTTTTTAAGACTGCTCATAGCCCAGTCGAAAGAGTGTTGGCCTCATAGGCGTGGGGTCCACGGTTCGAGACTCATACAGCCCAGGTGAAAGGAATGTTTATTTCCATGGAAGTGTGGATGACAATTTATATTCTACTACATATATTTCTCTCTAACATATGCACACACACACATCCCCAAGAAGCAGCCCATAGCAGCTATCTAACTCCCAGGTACTGTACTTATTTAGTGCTAGGTGAACAGTAGCACTATGGTGAAAGAAACTCTGCCCAATTGTTTCTGCCTCTGCCGGGAATTGAACCCGGGTCCTTAGGACTACGACCATAGAGCACTGTCCCCTCAGCTGCGAGGCCCTATATGCATCCCCATGGATGTGCATCGACTGCACTAATTGCTGTGCTATACGGACCCATATTGCATTATTTCCACATTTAACCCTATCTCACCTACATTATTTACCTGAATTTACCTGAGGGCCACTAACATTAGTAGCTCAACAAGGACAGGAACCTAGCGGCTTGTCAAAGGTCCCACTATTTGCCATGAAATGGGGAAAGCTGGCTGTATCTGTGCATGGAGCTGGGCCATTACAAATTACCTCAAACCCATCATCACCAAACATTTAAAAAGTACATCTGAAAAAAATTATTTTAACAGAAAGGATAACAAAAATAATTTTATGATATTTACCTGATGTATATCAATATCAATCAAGGACAGGTTCAAGACCCCAATCCATACAACTGGGATGCCCAAAGAGAAGGCGTAAGTTAGTAAAACCAGAAGTAATTGAACATTCCTGTGGAAATTACAGTTTTATAAATACCAGAGTAATAAATTCTGAAATGTACTTCACAGAATCAAATTTTGGTTGTACTGAACATGCTATGAACATATAAATAAATATTACCATTATTATAACAGTGTTGTTGTTACTATTTTGAACCATAGTACAGATCTAGTATTGATGGATTCAAAAGGTAGGCTGCTTAATAAGTTAATAACCCTTTACCTTTTGAATGATGAATTTTCTGATGTCTGTTTTGCATAATAGTAAACTAGCAAATTTGAAATTTACAGATTTTTAATCTGTAAATACCATCAAATAAAAATGCAGTAAATATTGCATACCATCAAAACATTATCTTCAATAGAATCTACTATAGATCTTCTTGATGTTTCTTTACAAGTTTGAAATTATTGCTTCATCTGTTATGTTAGATCTCTTGTTAAGATGCCATCAGGATTCACTTAACGTTCTATATTTTAAAAGTATCTATGTATGCCATAAGTTGTGTCATCTTTGATGGAAGAGTTTAATGGCAAAGTAATTAAAACTGAAGACACCTGTGGTGTATATATCTTTGCCTGTTTCAGAGTCAAGGGTGCCAAAGCTGACTTGATTGTGGGAGCAGTTTACAGAATTGCTGACACTGATGTTGCTGAATTCAACTCTAAACTTAGAAATCTAATACAGTACTAATGAACAAACATTACAAAAACCAACTAATAATATCATGAGATTTTAATGCTAACCTCTGCAAGCCTGATAACCCTCACGTTGCTAGTTTCCTCAACTTTATGAATTCCTGCTTGCTCATATCCTTAAATTAATTAATAAACATACAAGAATTACTAAAATGACTTCTACTACTCTTGATCACATCTGGACTAACATAACCTCTCCACTTACTTCAGGATAATCACTGATAGGACCACAGACCTTTACCCCACATTTCTTCTAACCAACATTAATAAACCACCTCTAGATACAATGAAGATAAGCTTTAGCCTGCACAATGAAACTTCTATAAGCAAACATTCACAATGTTTTATGTAACTGTATGTTACACAGTATGGCCATAATGTCCTTTTCACTTTTCACCTTTCCTTGAACATTTGTATTATCTGCAAATTTAATGATGTACAGTATTATGTATACATACTGTATATGTACTAATACCAAAGGTAGTGCCGTTTACTCATGCTCAAATGAAACTCATTGCTTCAGAATGCTGGTTGGACTGGATGCTTTTTCTTCCACTGAAAAATATGGGTGACACTGAATGCTCTGGGACCTTTTCATAAAATTTCCAGCCAAACTGGCAGGCACTTTTTTTTTTTTTTAACTTGTTGAGACAAGTGTACATGAAATATAGCCGAATACACTTAAATGCTAATTATACCTACATATTCAGTACAGTGGAACCTCGGGATACGAACGTCCCTCTTTACAAATTTTTCGGGTTATAAGCTCACAATTTCAGCGTAAAATTCGAATCGGGTTACAAGCTTTGCCTCACCTTACGTAGTTTGTTGATACACATATGGGTTGACCAAGCGCGTGGCGCACTTCAATTTACCAGTGTCACCAGTCTAGTGACAACCATGCTTAAATTCTTTATGAAGAATTTGATTGTTTTTGTGCTTTTTTTTGGTTTCTGAACATAAAAGTTATTACAAATTACGCCATGGGTTTCAAGAAAGTCAGTGTTAAAGTTCAACCTAAGAAAATAATTGTCAACCAATCTTTGTAAAAATTTATTGTATGTACATGTATGTACCTTACCTAAATAAACATTTTATTTTATTTTATTTTATTTTATTTTTTATTTTGTGAGAATGATGACAGAGGAAAAACAAAAGATCATTCATAGTGAGACACTGTGATGCCTCACTACAGACAAGTGTTAAATCATAGGGAAAACATGTGTCTATAGACAGATTCTTAGTAAGACCAGCAAGCAGTGAGCGACAACCAGGTCCTAGTGGTATGCCTGCAAAACGTGAGAGAGAGAGTACCCTAGAAATGTCATCACTGCTGTTATATTGGAAAGGGACTCCCCCTTCCAAACACTAACAACTCTCCTCCTCCTCCTCCTCCTCCTACCCCCCCTCTCTTCACCGTCTTCCATACACCAACAAAAGTCATCAATAAAGGTAAGCTAAAACTTGTACATACTATAGTACAAAATATTTGTGTGTATTATGTATGAAATGTATTTTGAAGTTAATATTTTTGGGTGTGGAATGGATTAATTCATTTTACCCCTACATTATTTCTTATGGGGAAAATCCATTTCAGGTTGCAAATTTTTGATCTACGAGCCATCTCTGGGAACAGATTAAATAAAAAAATCAAGATGTCACTGTATATGAAGACTGCAAACATTGCATGCAAATTATTTTAGTACTGTGGAGACACACTTTACATGGCCCCCTGGAGGGTCATAAGGCAAGTCTTACATATAGTACTATATCATGTATATTTCTTATTCTATAGCTGTACTGCAACATGCTTCGGTTATTATGAATGGGTTAAAATATGAATAAATGCCTACATTTTTTTAATATATATATATTGCTATTGTAAATAGACAAGCTGAAGCCAACACCTGATGCAGTGGAAAAAAAGAATGAAACATAATGGGTTGTTCCCAATTACTGTCATCTATTCATACACAGTAATTATAAAATAAAAAATGAATTATTAGCAAAACAAAATATTTCTTGAGGAATTTACTTTCCATTAAAATGTAAATAAAGTTGCAAGACAAATTTATGAAACCTATAAAAGTGGTAGACATATCTGAACCATATTTTTTTCAAGATTATACTGGAATAGTAGTTTTTCTCCTATACAGTACTTTTAGGTATGCCACTCACTTGATGATGCCTTTGATGCCACTGAAGAAGTCAATTCTCTCCTGCGCAGATGATGCTGAAGGTGGGGATGGTGGCTGGGATGGGAAATACACCACGGTAACCAACAGCAACAAAGCAGCAGCACCAAAATCTACCAGTAGAGATTTTTACTATTAAAACATTAATATACAGTACAGTAGCAGTGTATTGTCTTTTTTAATTGAAATTGCACACACAATATTTGCAGGCCAAGACAAATTTTAAAGTTACAATAATAATGCAGGTTTTACATTCACACACAATGGATGATTTCAACATTAAGAAGAATGCATGAGTATTCAAATAATTGATTAGCATCAATGTATAAATAAAATATTTAAATTGATGAACAAATTACAAATAAGCGAGGTAACACTGATAAGGATGAAGGCTTAATTAAGAAGCTGAGAACTGTACTACATCAAGTACACTACAGTATCAACAAAAGTGTGTATTGGAATAATAAGAGAACAGGGTTAATCATCTGGAAGGAGGCTTTTGAGGAAATAATTTTTTGAGCATGTGGTGAAGCTTATAATAGAATGGTAGCTGAATTAAAAGGATCACAGAATGTGAAAATAAAGTAATGCAAGGTGACTTTGGTGAAGAACAAGATTGTGTGGGTTAGACTTCTGGTGTGAGAAGTTTTATTAGACTTCTGGTCATAGAAGTCAGCAGAGGAGTTCAATGTAAAGAAACGCCTGAAATGCTATGTGTGTTAGTGGATTTACAAGAATGTAAGAACACCAATGTTATGTACTCTCAAACCCAATGTATTCTTGTATATAACTAAATAACTAAATAAATAAATAAATAAATAAATAAATAAATAAATAAATAAATAAAATAAATAAATAAATTTTTTGCAAGTTGCACATGCTACGCATATGCGCACATCCTCACACTACACATACAGTAGTAGACAGTACTATACAGTATTATATAAATGTAACTAATTCTATTAATACCTGTACTCTATACATTATATGCCAAGTTTAAAATGAGAACAAATTAAAATATATAAAACATCAGTCGTTTCCTACTTACGGATATACATGAGGTTCATTATGTCACTGCGTATTTCTTCTTGTTCTTCAGCTGTGGAGTTTCCAGTCCCACTTGGTGATGCCACAATCAGCGGGCCCATGAACATTGCGGCACCCCCTAATTGGCACATGAGAGTACCAACAGCTGATGAATGTAAATAATATTTAGTTTATGGTTAAACAACAACCTGCATAGTTCCTATATACTGTACAGTAAATGCAAATAATAAAAAAATCACCAGAAACAGAAACTAAAGCAAATAAAGACATGAAACTATTAATTGCTATCTTTGTTTTTACTTGTTTAACTTAAGATGGAAAACAAAAAAAGAAATTAATGCTAAAAAAATTGTAACAATAAAGGTACAAAATAATGAAACAGCTTTCGCTAACATGAAGGCGTGGAATATCAGAATAAAAATGGCTTCTTACCGGTAGCAGTAATCCTTTCATTAGGAGGAAACCAGGTTGCAGCGATCATGGCAGGTAGGGACAATGTCATGCAGGCAGCAAATGCAAACAGTATGGAGCTAATGTGACATATCCTGCATATATATAATTCAATATTAATAGCAATATGCTAGCAAAAAGAAAATACTGTAATGCTTATCTATAAAAAATTATTTGCATGACAAGGTTTCTAATTGTCAGAGACAGGTAGGCTGTTAAGATTTATGGAGGTGCGGCTAGCCAACAAATGACCATACCCAGGATGCAACCCACAACAGTCGACTATTTCCTAGGCCCTTACATTCAGTTCTGTGCTGCTACATGAAAAGAGGCACAGTGTAAGGAAATATATTTTAACCTAAAAGTTAGGACTATGCATTAGCTAGCAGAATCAGCACTACAACTCTTAACAAATGATGACTGAAAGAAGTGGTGGTACATGTGAGGAGACTGACAGTGTTCACGTACTGAGGTGAGGTAAAAAGATTAAGCAGCTTCAGCATTTCTAAAACGATGTTACAACCATAGGGTTACGAAGGGTCACATTTACTTGAATTTACCTGAGGGTCACTAGTGGTCTCGTCGAGGATAAGAAAGGGAGTCATGAAGGGAAGGTAGACAGGTCGTATGGGACTGCACGTGTGCGTCTACATTGGTTGATACCTATCTACCTTAGAGTACAGCTGAGGGAGGCTGGGCGGCCACCTTTAGGGAGACCCAGAAAACTAACAAGTACAAGGACCTAGAACATAGTTACAGGTTCGTGCTGATAGGCTCTAAGACCCTGGGTGCCTGGGGTAAATGTGCACTTAAGTTCCTAAAGAAGGTGGGTGAGGAATTGTTATGGTATCAACATCGTCTGGAGTGTGGAGTGCCGATTTTGGCGCCATCTATGGATCAGCACTCCAACTCCCAGGTATTAGATGATATGCAAACAACACCATCTGTTGGCGGTGGTGTGGCATTGGTGAAAGGCTCCTGTTTCATACCTCAGTTAGAAGGTAAGGTCGATGATGATGACCTCTGGTGGGTGGCGTAATGATATCAACACCATCTAGGTTGTGAATGCAATTACAATGTCAATTCCCCAGTGGAAGGGTGTTAACCTAAGGTCACCCAGTATACTGTCTGTCTAGCTAATGATGTTTATGTTCAGAGAGGTATGTAAGGAGGCTATTGCGCTGAGGAGGGTAGTTCACCTTGGGTAGTCCAGAACTCTTGACTCAGTCCTGTGAGAGGACAAAGTGGCAACCGTCGGTAGTAGCAGTGTGTTAGCTGCTGGATCTATGCAGTGTTGTATGGACTGACGTTCCCGGGATTTGGCCAAGAAGAGTTACGAGATGACAGTAGTGCGTCTGTTGAGAAGTGCTGCTAGTGTGTTGGTAGAGACTTCTGCCAGAGTGGTAGCTATCCCTGTATGTATTTATTTGAGACCCCTGTCAGCTTGTTGATGAAGCCCTCTGCCAGTGTGTTTCTGCAGAGCGAATGTAGGGTATTGGGACATCAGGATGATAGGGTGTGTGGATTGGCCCATGTTGAGGAAGGTGAACTCGCCGGTGATTATCATTGAGCGTGGACAACGTGTACGTGGAGATAGTGGACTCACCGGGATTTGATGAACACTGCAGGTCTATTGAGTGTCCTGAGTGAAAGCGACACAGTGTAAATATGTGTAGTAATACTTAGAGATATAACATATATATATTGGTGGAGGTGATAATATATTGGTGAAAGTGTAATTGCGTATTGTTTATCCCCTCCCTTATTCCTTGCACTGTTACTAGCTACTGCCAATTCTTGACAACTTACCATCAACTTGGGGTACGACAAAGAAGAAGAGGTTATAAGACTCGTTAACAGAAAAGATCTGGGTTACTGGCCCAAGCTGGCTGTAACAGGAACTCATTAGGAAAACTAAAGACTCAAGAGTGGCCAGTTTCCTGTTCCAGTGCCTCAGTGTCGTGTTTACTGTGCCAACAAGAGTTTTCATTCAAGGTAAGATATACATAATGTATTGTAGCTAGTACAAAATGAACGTTATTCGGTATAACATGTATTTTTAAGTTAATATTTTTGGGGTGTGGAACAGATTAATTAAATTTACATTATTTATGGGAAAATTAATTTTGGTTGACAACACGCCTTTGGCAACGGATTACAATAGTAAACGAAGGTACAATAGTAACGGATTTACAATAGTAAATGCAGGTACTGTATATATATATAATATGTATACCATATGCATTTAAATAAATTGTGACTCACACAGTGAATGATGATTCTTGAGAGGTGAAGCAACGTAATACAGTACCAAACGTGAGAAGCAGAGCACAGGTTAACACTCCAAGTCGAAGACCTGGCAACAGAAAAGGCAGCTCATATAATACCGTAATAAATTATCCTGCACCTAGAAATTAACAGTATGTAGGAATTTTAAGTCACCAATATTATCATAAAATCATCCTGCACTACCATCATTTTACATGTACTTTTATTAGTTTCAAATTCCTGTAACATATTTGAATAAAAAATTAACATTCATTTTGAATGCATGCTACTTGTAACTTTTTAAATGCATGTTACATTGAATCAAATAAGGAACTTTTGAGAAACATAAACTTATACGTTCTTAATCTTGTTATTTGTCAAATACTATACTGCATTTTGCTTAAGTTTCTTTGTACTCATTCAACAGATCTCTCTCTCTTTTGCATCAGTCTTACCTAATTTTTGTGTCAACCACATCATGGGAATGGTGAACAACACAACAATAATCGGACCCCAGTTTGGAAACGCAGCTATGGTGCCTTCCGTCCAACTAGGAAATGCTGCTAACGCTGATTCAGATATAGGTCCAAATGTTCCCCACACTGTGGTCTGAAAATACACTTAATGAATAAAGCAACAAAGCAATCAGAAATATTGTTTATCAAAATACATTTAGTTTTTTGTATAGATAAAATCTATATTTTATTGAAATTTAGTTTAATGAAAACTAAATGTATTTGAGTGCTGAAAAATATAAGCTTACTGCATATTATTCAAGCAAATATTTTTTATGTGCTTTTTAAATTTACAAAATCCTATACAGTACAACACTGCCATGCCAAATCAGATTTAAGGCTATTAATAGAAGGATGCAACAGAACGTGAAAAGATGACACAAAATAAATAGCTCTTAAACATTCCCAGAATCAAACTTAATCTAAGCAAAAATGACATGCAAATAAAGGTGTCCAAATATGGATTACTCTTCACAAAACCATAAAGAACTGCACTACATTCAAGCTTTCTAAAAAAAAAAAAAAAAAAAAAAAAAAAAACTATTTTCTTTATTCTAGTATCACTCCATTGACAGCATATAATATAGACATATGTATACAGTGCTGTATATCCTATGCTATACTTTTCTTCCTAAATAACAACACCACCAATTATTACATTAGAAAACTGTAAATAATTTCAGTATAGTATAACAAACACTAATTCAATTTAAATCCACACTCATCATTGTTATTATCATATTTATCAACTTCAATTAAATTCTGTAATAAATTAAGATTTACTTTGTAAACTCTTGCCAACTCTCAGTAATTCTTGATGACTAATTATAACAAAAGTCTGTAAATTACAACAAAAGTCATTAATCATGTTGTCACCACTTGTCTCTGAAACTACAAACTTTCCCAAAAATGAGAAGCATAACAACCGGGTAATGGTTTATATAAATACACTAAATGTATTAAGAAAAATTTCATATTTGCCCAAAGCCTTTATAGAGTATCCCAAGTTTACCTAGCATAAGTTGTGTATACACTCTTCCAGCTCACTGTGTGACTACCCATTCCATTGTCTCTCACTGGATGGGTGTTTGGTGCTTAACAGACAGACATAAATCAAATGTACAGCAAACACAGTTGTTCAACATACAGTAAATGTAAATTGTTTAGTATGAACAACACTACGATCCACTCCAGTTCCTGAATCCATTGTATGACCTACAACAGGTCACCCACCACCTACAGGACAGGAAAAACAATAGGAGGTGCATGATGACCAAACCACACACCAGAAAATGAGGAGATAACAATCCTTCTGTCCGTCCTGGCCCATTATCAAGTCAATTGACGGACCGAAATGTCGTCATATCCTCATCTTCTGGTGTGTGGGTTGGTGATTATATCTTCAGCCACATTATTGTGAATCTTCGTCTGCAGGAGGTGCATTTTAACCTAGGCCCATACCCACCTACATACTGCAGCTGTAAATACTAAGACAGTGTTTCAGTTTCAATACAACCTGAAAACTTTCTCAGGAATAATGAGGGAGGAATTTTGAAAAACCACTGGCTTCTTGCCCCAATTGACACCACTAGGGATGGTGGCCCTCAGATAGGAAAATTCAGATAATATATTTTTGAAACAAATGACACCAGCTCCCCAGGAAATGGAAATTCCTCGAGGAAATGAGGCATCAAAAATACATAGGCATATAGATCAAAGAAATGATACAAGCTTATGGAGGATATGATAAATGATACACCTGTAAAGAAGAGAGGGAAGCACAGCATATTGCCGCTGAATGGATAAGACTAAGATAAGATCCAAGTTCTTACCTAATACTTATCAGGGTATTCCCAGCCATGCACCTTAGCCATGTACTAGTTTAGTTTTAGTGTTTTTCCTGCCCGAAACGCTTTGTGTAATAGTGGCTTTAGGCATTGTATGCACTAGCTCTATCTATAACTCCATCAACTTTTGTATTTCACCTTGTATGTATGTACTTTACCTGAATAAATATTTGTATTTGTATCTGTACCACAAAATGGTATGTTATACAACCTGGTCGGAGACCGGGCCGCTAGGAACTTGATCCCCGGAATCAATGCAAGGTAACCTGGGATTCTATTCAATTCACAGGAAATATGGAGGTTGTTGTGCCCCACATGCAGGGTCTTTCAGTTGTCAATATTAAAAAGCATTTGCCAGTCATCTGACCATTTGTGGAGTTCCTGCAGATTCCTTTGTAAGGCTACAACATTATTATTTTTTATTTTTTTTATTTATTTATACAGTATAGTGAAACCTCGATTAACGAATTTAATTCGTTCCGGCACCGAGCTCGTCATGTGAAACGTTCGTCTTTTGAAACAAATTTCCCCATTTAAAATAATGGGAAAAAAATTAATCTGTTCTACCGCCGAAAAACATTAATATGATATTCGATTTTTTAAATAAAGGAGCTGCCTACCTGACAGTCACTGAACGAACCTTTATGACATATTTCTTTTTTTTCAAATTCTTTAAAAATTTTTTTTAGAAAATGTAGCAGCCTACCTGACATTCACTGAACAAACCTTTTTGACAAACAAATGTCAACTATTTGACAAATGTCAAATAGTTGACATTTGTTCTTTTTTCAAATGTTTTCAATTTTTTTCATAATTTTGTCAAAAAAACAAAAATCAATGCTTTCCAACATTACAGCAGTCATCCCTTTACATCCCAGCATCATTAACATCTTTAAAGCAAAACAGTTACTTGCATCACCGGAGGTGTCTGAGAATTTGCAAGAACCAGCAGGGATGCTAGGAAGCGCCATGTGCTTTTCTCGTTAATCAAGCGAAAGCTCGTCAACCGAGACAAATTTTTGCCGAGTGGCGTGCTCGTTATTCGAAATGCTCGTAGATTGAGGCGCTCGTCACTTGAGGTTCCACTCGAGTTTCATTCGAGAGTTCTTATGTTCTTGTACAGCCACTAACACGCATAGCGTTTCAGGCAAGTTCTTAATCCTATGTTTCCTGGAATACAACCTGGCAGATTATTTAACAACCCGGTACCCATTTTACTGTTGGGTAAATAGAGGCTACAGTTAAGGATTGACACCCACTAAATCCTCTGCGGCCAGGATATGAACCCAGGACAAAGCGCTCTCAAAACGCCAGGCGAGTCTTACCACTACACCATGGGGACTGCTTCCTCATTTTATCTTTCTCATCAATTGGAAAATTATCATTTCCTAATTTGTTATAAATCTTTGTCATCTGCAAATTTGATGTGGATTGCAATATTCTCATCTATGTCATTGATATATATGACAAAAAGGATTGGCCCCAAAATGGACCCCTGTGGTACCCCTCTTGCCACATTTCTCCAATCAGATTCATTCCCATTTAGCACTACTCTTTGTTTTCTTTGTTTTAACCATTGTGTTATTCATTCTAGTATTTTCCATTTATTCCATGTGCCTGTAATTTCCTTGCCAGTCTTTCATGTGGTACCTTGGCAAAGGCTTTGGCAAAATCCATGTATACTTCGTCAACTGGAAGTCTTTTGTCTGAGTAGCTAGTTATCGTTTCCAAAAATGTGAGCAGGTTTGTATGGCAGGATCTATTTTTTAACAAACCCATGTTGTGTTGATTGTACACGATTGTTCACTATAAGATTATGAATGATTCCCTCCCTTAGGATTCTCTCCATGAATCCATTTACATTCTCTCCATGTAAAATATTAAATTAGTGTTATCTGCCCTTTTATTGTCCATTATTGTTTGGTTAGTCTCATATTTTAGAGGTCCTATCGAGTCCTTCGCTTTGGTTTTACTTCTTATATAGGCATAGAACGACTTTGAATCTTCCTTTATGTTTTGAGCAAGTTTTCTTCTGTAGTTCCTTTTGGCTGATCTGATTTCCTGGGTGTCTGAGTCGGTTAGAGCCGAAGCTCATCCCCACAAGCACAATTAGATGAGTACACTACAATTAATGTACATCACTATAGTTAGTTGCACAATTAGATGTGCAACTACTTGGGCTGGACGGTAGAGTAGTCTCGTTTCATGCAGGTCGTCCAAGTAGTTGGGTACCATTCCATCCCATCCCTAATCTTTATCCTGACCCCTTCCAAGCGCTATATAATATTCGTGCTTTCTCCTGATAATTACTTATGGGGCTATTCATGCCTGTGCCACATTTGTAATTTCAGCGTTATATGACAAAGAGTGCTGGAGAGACGCAACACCACGAGCGTAGCTCTCATCCTGTAACTACACTTAGGTAATTACACACTCCCTCACACGAACAAATCCACAAGGGCCGTGACGAGGATTCGAACCTGCTTCCGGGAGCATCCCAGACACTGCCTTAATCGATTTGTTCATTTGATGCATCACGTTAGTGTGATCTCTGTGTGTGACTCCCTCACACCCTTCTATGTCTTGTTGGTGCGTTGCCCAGTACACGCTGGCACTTGGGCTTTACCTGAATTTACCTGAGGGGCTCAAACATTCTAGTGGCCTCGACGAGGACAGGAAGCCGGCGGCTTGTCAAAAGTCCCCCCCCCCCATTTGTCCTGATGATTTTTTTTCTACCTGGATTTTAAAATTCAACAGTGTTGGGATTTACGGCTTCTGCGAATAGGTGGTTTTATGGATTTATAACCATATGGGTGAAAAAGCATCTGTTTTGAGCTTTACATTTACATTGTGGCTTGTTGAGCTTGAAACCGTTGCTCCTTGTTTGTTTTACACGTGTTTGTGTTTCTTCCCTTTGAAGAAGCTGTCTGGATCAACATCCTCCAAACTGTTCAGCATTTTAAAAGTTTCGATGAGATCAGCCCTGTCATGCCTGGTTTGCAGTATTGTTAGTCAACAATACTGTGGCCCTCAACCGTTCCTGGTATGAGAGGCGACTTAGTTCTGGAATTATTTTTGTTGCTCGGTTGCTACTTTGTGGCTACTTTCTCCAATGCATTAAAGTCAATGGTACGCTTGATTATTTTAAAGGTTTGAATTTGATTAGCTTATTTTTTACTGCCACTCCCACTTGTGCAACTTTCAGTGAATGATGGATTCTGACTCCAAGGTATTTTTCTTCGTCAATGTGCTGGAAGATAATGTTGTTAATTTGGTAGTTGTGACGTACGTGCCCTCCCTCTCGCCCATGCTATTTCTCGCTCCACTCTGTCTTCCCTGTTGCCAGGTCACACAGAGGTACAGAAACGGTCTCGTTGGGATCTCATCCTTCCCACGCAAGACGGGCTTAAGTTTTGGTAGCTCTATTTCCTTCGTCTTTTATTAGTCGTATGAACCTCCAATGTGTCCTTTCTGCTCATCTTCTTTCATATCTCTTCCTACTTCTAGTACGGCAACCATGGTCTCATCTGTCGTAAGTCAGAGGGAAAGACTGCTAGACATAAAGTAGTCATATACATCAGGAGAAGTTTGGCTACAGCCAAGAGTCCAGCACAAAGGGAACCTCAAATATGCAGACCTGATAACAGTCACAGTTGCCCAGACGGAGTTACCCTGCAACCAATGAGGGGTGGTAAACAGGTTGTGTGTGTCACTACACGTGTTGATCTACATTTAGCTGATACCTCTCTACCATATAGTACAGCTGAGGGTGTACTCCAGCCTCCCTGGAGGCTGCCCCCTCCATGAAGACCTAGACAAGTAATAAGCTCAGGGGGTGTAGAACATTGTTACAGGTTCGTGCTAATAAGCTCCGAGACTCTGGACGCACTTAAGTTCCTGAAAGAGGTGGGTTTAGACATTAGACAAACTAGACACCCAAGAGCAGCCAGTTTCCTGTTTTAGCGCCTAAGTGTCGCATTCCAGCTAGGAAATGCCCTTATATTATTATTAACATCTTTATTGACAAAACTTAATTACAATTTTGCCTAATCCAAATGCCCTCTGTATCTTGGGTACGCACCCAACCCCTGCAGAACTGGATGCAGTTTTCGAACAGTGATTCCTATATATGTGTGTGTGCTTTCTCTAAACTATAACACAATATAATAAAATAAATGAAATTATTATCTTAATTATTTTTTACATTATGCCCGAAAATCTTTACGTATTAGCGACCACTTAATTGTGGTACTCTTATCTTTAAATTGTTCACTTTTCATGAATGTATGTACTCGTGCATAAATAAAATAGTTATTATTAATATTATTATAGGCTGTTAACACCGCGTAAAGAAAATAGTAAAATTTGTCTAGGCCAAATATCCAGCAATGATATTTTTTCAACGCTGAATATACAAAAACTAAAACTAAACTGTAACGTAATGTAAACGTTTATCCAACCATCAACTTTTTTTTTCATAGTTGGACTGAAGAACATTATCAGCATCATAATCCTATACTCACTTGTAAAAAAGCGACGAATGAAAACACCGTTAATATCCAGAATCTGGATAAATACGCTTGATAGACCTCCTCTCGTGGAGCTGTGCTGGTGTTATTGGGATGAGTATCCTGGCCAGGACTGGTAGTGACCTTGTCGCTGACAGTGGACTGGAGGCTGGTCACGTCTAGCACCGCCGGGTACGACAGCTTCGACGAGTCCACTACATCTGGGGTCAAGTTCACCTTTTCTCCCTCCATTATCTTGGTTTCTCCAGTAACTGCAATGTGAAGAACTTTGCAATCATTTACCTGAGGTGACTGTCAGGAGAAAGTGATGATTTACCTGATGACCAGCAACATAGTGGCCTCGACGGGGACAGGAAGCCGTTGGCCTGTTAAAGGTCTCGACATTATTTGTATATGTTGTAAAGTATTGTATTTATATTCTAAATGATTCTGGATAAATTATCCTCCAGTACTCATATATAATAAATGATCGTGTATACATATATTGAACATTACTCACATACTAAATGATCATGCATATATATATATTGAATAGTATTAAATCACACTTTTATGACACTTGTATACAATTGACTTTCTTTCTTTTACATATTTAGTAAATATTATTCTTGACTATGAATCGTCCATGTTTATAAAAATATGTTTCCAGAGTGAGGATAATTGCAGACACCTCGGTGACTCTTGAGGTGACTCTATATATGTACTTCCGCCTCGGTCTAAACTGTAGGCGGAAGTACATATATATCATGGTTACAATCAATGTTTTAATGTATGGATATGTGAAAACAACTTTCTATTGTGCACTGCCACACAAGGGCAGGGATGGGTTCATAAGTGATGCAGCTTAGAAGTAATATAAATAAAAATTGTTCTTCATTCTTTAAAATGGACAAGCAAATTTTGGTTAAATTGTTAGGATGTCGTCCAGAACACCTGAGTCAATAAAATAGTTACACAGTTGGTGGTACAAGAGGCCAGGAGGTCTAAAGTCCTTTACGGTTTCACATTCAAACATATAGTGTCTTAGTGAATGCATTAAAGGTTTATCACAGAGTTTACAATCTGGGTATTCTGGTAGTGACTCAGCCTCACTAACCTGCCAGATGTGTCTATAGCCAAGGCGAATTCGCGCAATGACTACATCACATTGCCTGGTCCGGTTACTGTGCTGACTATACAAATGCCTATTATTACAAAACCTGCAGCATCTTGGTATGGTTCGGCTAGGAGAGAGGGGGAGGGGGAGAGAAGTGGGGGAGGGGGAGAGAAGTGGGGGAGGGGGAGAGAAGTGAGAAAGGAGGAGAGGGAGGCTGGAGAGAGATCAGGGAGGAAGAGGAGAGGGCTGGAGAGACCAGAATTCAACTAGCAGGTTCGGTAGAGGAGGGTGGGCGGTGGTAGAGGGGAGGTAGGGTGGTAGAAGCAGAGGTGAGGAAGGGTAGGGAAAGGGGGGTTGGGGGGGTAGAGAAGTAGCACGCAGAATCTCAAGTAGCAAGGAACACAACGGGGGATGGAGAGGCAAAGGCTAGGAGACGGAGGACTGTTCGTTGAATATCTATGTCCAGCATGGCAACGTCTAGCGTGGGAAGGATCTGAGCCCTAAACTAGCTTTTGACAAATCATGCTTTACTATGTGGTGCATGGAAGTTCTCCCTGCTGGCAAAGAACACGGCGTTATGTACATGGGTCTGGATATCTGGGTAAGATGTAAACTTAGTAGGCCTAACATAAGAAACTAGTGTTTTTTTTTAATGAACATAAAGTTAAATCTGGCATAAATAAAGAGAGAGCTCAGCAACTGAGCCATAACAATACCAAAAAGTGAGAGCTATTTATAAAAAATGGGCTGAAAGTTTTACACACAAACTTTAGAAGTGTCAGGACTAAAATGAAAGAGTTAAGGGAACGTGTGAGTGAATATCAAACAGATAAATGTTTATATCCATGAAGTAACTTGTTCACCAAATGCAGATCAAAATTTGTTCATACTATCTGAAATAACAAGACAGGAGGTGTGGCTATCTTGTCATAGGAAGATTTAAAATGCCAAATTGAAAAAAAATTAAAACAAGTAACAACGGGAGAAGCAAGCAAATCCTTAAAGTTGTTGACAAAATTGAAGGGAAACATAATTAGGAAAGAATAACAAAGGATTCAAGGTAAAATAATGCAATAAAATCACGATTTTTTTTAATTTGTTTGAATAAACAGAAAATCAAAGATGTTCTTAAAAATTTCAGGACTGCTTAATTAAGCAATTTGTCACTGAACACCCTGAGAAAAATAATGCCCAAGATACAGCCCCAGCCAATTAACAAAAGCAACAAAATATTAGAGAAAAATAGACAACAGCGATCATAACAGAACAAGATCCATAATTGGCCGGATATGTCATAACAGCTAAATGTCATTGTTCCTAATTTTCGAGGACATGAAGGGAAAGTGGACTGAGAGACTTGATTGGTGACCTTGCATAGTCTATAAGTTTTACAACAGACAAGTGTAGTAAAAACGCAGGACGAAAACATTCCATATACTCTGATAAAGCATTTATTATCAGACAACTTTCAAAGTTTGTCGACAAACAAAAATCAATATATAGATAAAAGAGGCATGAGGCTTGTCTAAGAAATATTTGAATAACAATAGCGAGAAATGGAAAGAAACAAGAACCGAGATTGAAGATTACGAGTTACTAATGAAGCTAAGTCTACTCTCGAAGGACTTTTCCGATTGAATCAAACTCAGGCTTGGACGAAAAATGGATATCTGAAGCAAAGTTGACATATAGCGAGGAACTCAGGCTTGGACGAAAAATGGATATCTGAAGCAAAGTTGACATATAGCGAGGAACTGAGCAATAATGTAAACAGCTAGCTTGAGCTACCTCATCCCTTTGTGTGTATTTTACCTCAATAAACTTATTTCAATTTCAATTTCAATTTCAATGTAAACAGCAATTCCATAAATCTTCACAAACTACCTCCAAAAAAAGTGCTCAGGAAAATATTCTCTGAATCTACCCAGCTCCACATCTTTAAAAGACATTTTCATTTTTTGTCTAGTTTCATGTTGTTCTTTTCTACTGCTCTAATTCTATATATTTTTGACCTGCATACCATGCCAGTCTTGTACTATATTCCCCCACCTTCATGCAGCCCTCTGGCCGCCTCTTTTCTTTCTCTCACAACGGCGGATACTGGATACCTGATCAACCAGGCTGATACCTGATCAACCAGGCTGTGACTCATACGTCAGGCTGCGAGCAGCCGCGTCCAACAGCCTGGTTAATCAGTCCAGCAACCAGGAGGCCTGGTCGACGACCGGGCCGCGGGGACGCTAAGCCCCGGAAGCACTTCAAGGTAACCTCAAGGTAAGGTAGGGCTTTCAATACACCGACCACTTAATATTTGTTTTCAGTAGCTGACTGAACATGTATATTAAGCATTAATGAAAAAGAGAGACTTACTTAACATTCATGTATTGTCATAATTATTCAATAATCGTAATTACTATACACTATTATGTGCACTTTAAATACATGTAGTATCTGTGGGTTGTTTCAGTAATTATAACAATTATAGCCTTGGTATAATTAGTTGGTTGATTATGATTAGTTGGTAACCTATGTCACACTTCAGATAAATTAATAAATGTTTTATTGAAGATTTTACTAAATACATTACTTAAATAGTTCTTTCCTCAGTTTCTTCCTTGACTTCGCAATCCTACTAGCCCTGACGTCGCTTGCCTAGCCCAAACGTCGCCAACCCAGCCCTGACGTTGCTGATTGAAGTCTGACGCCACTAGCCTAGTCCTCAAGGCCTGTATTCAGCATCGCGTACTGGAGGGCGGAGGTGCATTAATATTCTACAGTATCCAACGAGTCATGGGATGTGTCTGAGTCTCTCAAAAATTCCAACTGGTATTAATTTTCCTGTGCCATAGGGAGTTGACACCGCGTTTAAAAATAACGATGCAAAATTTAGGACTCAAATGGTTAGGGGTTTGGGCCGTTCTCGTGTCTAGTTTGGTAAGGTATAAAAAGAAAAAAGGACATAAAAACATAGCGTCATCATCCTGATCATGCTTCCTGGTGTGGTAGGAATGCAGATACTTGTGGTACTCGCCTAATAGGGCTTGTGGGGGTTGATCCTAGTGCTTTGGTACCATCTCTAAATCTTGAATCGACTGGTGTACAGATTCCAGAGCCAACTGGGCTCTGACAGCAATATGTGAGGTTGAGCATGAGTTGATGTTTTTTCTACCACTTAAATTGTAAATGAATTCCGTTTGATTGCTATTTTTACGGTGAACAACTTCTTTTCATTGTCTCTTTTGGCTCATTCTGGTGCTGTACTTAGTTTCCATCAGTGTTCCCTTTTTCGTGTACACCCCCCCCCCTCTCTCTATGCTTCTCTCTATCCCTCTCTCTATGCTTCTTTTGTAGCGAGTTAATCTTATACTCGCTCCACTATCTCATTATCTTAATAGCATAACTACTTAGCACTAATTACAGAAGCCACAATCCTTTCCCCAATTACAGGTAATACCCTTCTCATCTTGTTGGAGGGAGCTGAGGTGTAGTCAGCATATAAGCAAGCGATATAAAGAATAGCGGACAGTACAATTTCCAGTCAAGAATGTAGCACTCGGCGTAGGCAGTTCTAATCGTCTCCAAGACGCTACAGCTTCGACACAGAACAGGCAGCAGACTAGGACCGCATCCAGCTACAACGCTCTCCCACATAGAGCTCCGCGACTTCGGCCACACTCAGCTCTCTGCTCTGCTTCAAGCTCCGTCTCAACGTCTACGACACTGCTGTATCTAGGACTACTAAATAAATATGAAACTCACTAAATACTGTGTATCTAATCTACCCAACAATGTAACATAATTGTACGTTGCACTCTCTATCCCTCTGTCTATGCTTCTTTCTATCCCTCTCTCTATGCTTCTTTCTATCCCTCTCTCTATGCTTCTCTCTATCCCTCTAACTCTTTATCCCTTTCTCTATATCTCTCTCTCCCTCTGAACTGTATGTTTGACAAATCTTTCACATGGAGGACAGAAGAAAATGTATATATGCTAGTTAGCATTGTAAATGTGTGGCCACGTCTGTGGTAGAAAATAATAATAATAAAAACAAATAATCCCTCTTTCTATCTTTCTTCGACCGGTAAACAACAGCACCTGAGAGGTAAACACACTTTGTTCAAATACATGAAGCACAATAAACAATGACGAGTCAAC